CGTTAGCCCACAGGCGGTCGATCGGGGTGTCTCGGTTGGCGCTGAAGTTATCCCCTGCCGCCTCCTCCCCTGTCGCCGTCCCCGCCAGCCCTGCTACTCGGGCACAGTTGCAGACCAGCCTTTCTCGTTGAGCCCCCATGTTGGATGAGGAGGATCTAAAATGTGCCTTTTTGGCTTTTCTTGGTTACCTTCCGAGAGAACTGTAAAGGTAATTTACTTTCAAAGTGTTCTCAGTGATGTCCCGTCCAAGTAAGACACTTCCATTTTTGATGGCTAAAGTTGCTGGCTTTTCAGCATTTTAACCGTTTGATTAGAGTTGTGGGCCTCTTTATTATGTGGATGGTTTTCAGAATAATGTTATCCAGCTGTTGATACTGCTCAGGACTAGAGGCCAGTGGAGTTAGCAAAAACAATACATATATAAGGAAAGAAAAAACAGGGCAGACGAAGAAAGCTATTATGTTTGTGTTTACTATCAAAAAATCACCAAGACAGTCCTTGTATTGTCGTTTTCTGGGAATTGAAGTTAAAGAGATGGACTTAAACCATTACTTTTTATGTCTACTTCTGTCTTACTGTATTTACAGTATGACTAGTAGGGTTGGAAGTTTTGGGGGGATTGGATGTGCTGAAGTCTTTTGTTTCCAGTTTTTTTTTCAATCCAGGGTGTTTTGTACCCCAGCGTAGAAAGGCCATATGCCTTTGTTGGCACAGATGTGGTGTGGCTGAGAAGATTGTTGCAATTTTTTAAACGCTTTGATATAGGTCTTGGAAATCACCCTCTGTGGTTAATGTTTGTATGGTAAGGTGTTTATACTGCCTGACTTGTGCAACTGAATTAGGACTGTGAGTAGCTGACAGAGCCTTCAAAAGGCAGTTCAGAATTGACTAACATTTTGAAGTGTCCTCTGGAGGCTCCCTTGATGAATAGGGAGCCCTAGGCAACTTCACTAATTCAGACAAACTGGTTTGGTTCCCTGCATTTACATGGAGTGAAGAGTCCACTGTGTACTGTTCCTAGAAAATCTTGGGCTTCTTTACAAAGTGCTAGTTTAAAAAATAAATAAATCTTCTTTCTTGTGAATGATCATAAATGCTGGTAGTAACCTAATCATTATCTTCAGGTACTCAAAGTATCCTTCCAAGATTCATAAAGGAGTTTTTTGGGTTTTGTTCGTTTTGGTTTTTGTTAGTCCTGTAAATGCAACAAGGATGCTAGCTTTTTACAGCAAGAAGAAATGATCAGATCATAAATATTGTAAAGCATGGTTATTTTTTCCCGCTCTGTTAAGACATGTTGATTTATGTTGGGATTCAACAAAGATTTGTTAAAGTTGAAAATTAATTTGTGCTTATTGACAGATAAGAACTTGTGCTTCTGCTTATTTATTGGGTGTTTTAAATAGTATCACTACTACCCCCCAAAAAAAACATCAAACCCCTTAGAACCAACCCCCACCCCTTTTATTCATTCTGCCTTTTCCTACTGTCCGTCGTAAAAAGGTAGTACCACTACTACTAAATTTCGTTTCTTTTGTTTTACACCTCTTGCCAAAGAATCCCCAGGGCCAAAAGGATGCTAACTGTATTGAGTTGGTATGCAGCTGGCTTGAAATGGTTCTCTGTTCTTTATGCCTCTTCTCCTTTCCTGTCCACATTTTCCAAATCACTCCCGGATTTCATAGAATCACAGAATGGTTTGGTTGAAAGGGACCTTAAAGACCATCCAGTTCCAACCCCCCTGCCCTGGACAGGGACACATCCCACCAGACCAGGTTGCTCAAAGCCCCATCCAGCCTGGCCTGGAACACTTCCAGGGATGGGGCATCCACAGCTTCTCTGGGCAACCTGTGCCACTGCCTCACCGGGAAGAATGTCTTCCTCATATCTAATCTAAATCTACCCTCTTTCAGATTTATGAATATGATACTGACCTTCAAATTTTGTCAAATTAAAAAGAAGTTTTAAAGGAAGATTATTCTCAGCCATTGCTGCATGCATTGTGGTCTCTGGATTACATGATACTGAACATTCTGTTAATGTAATAATACAGTATGGACTTGAGAAAGAATTACAGCATGTGTTTTTGCTTTAATGTTGTAGAAAAGACTATTTGTAAGTAGCATTTTCAAGGATATTTCTTTCAGGAGATTGGGTATTCTGTAAACAAATCTATAGAGATCATGCAATGTGTTGTGCCTTTGGAAAGTCAGGTGAAGTGGTGTGATAATGTGAGTTGATCAGTTTTATGGGAGGGGACAAATGTGCTGTGGAAGGGTGCTAAAACTATGGGCAAATGTTTTCAGTTTAATATAGTTTATTTCAGTGAGAATTTGTAACACTTGGTTTTTCTCTTTCAGATTACAGCAAAAGCAGCTGTCATTTTTGTTACACTTCAGTATAATGTTACCATTCCTGCCACAGGTATGTATCTTGTGGAAGGTTAGTTATGAAACAGTCTATTCAGACATTATTAGTATGCCCTACTTTCTAGTCTGAGGGTAAGTGAATTTTTCAATTTGAATACATAATAAGCAATTGTCAAGGACTTCACTTTATTTTCAGTAAAACTCCATTTTAATTAATTAGGTTAGGCATGATATTTCTGTTCCGGGTTCATCGTTAGTGCTAAAAGACCATCTGACTGCTAGATAAGTTCACATTCATTCTTACTCTGGTTTTGCAAGTTACAGTCTTTACTAGTCAAAGTGGGTGATAGTTTAATATAACTTTATTATCCCCTTTCAATGCATTTGGGCAAGCTTCCTAAGTGCACTTAGGTTTTCATTTTTATAGTACATCCTTCCAGAATCAGATTTAGTTTGTGATATGATGGAGAAGATGACTGTAAGCAATCTAGTGACCTAGCTCATGATGGCAGTTTAATTTGATTTCTCTTTGTTCAGCTGGCTAAAACTACTTCTGTCTGAAAGGTTTCATCTTAAGAAACAAACTTATTAGCCATTAAACTCTATTGGTGCCTAACAGTTAATTCTGTTTGTCTTTTAGAAGAACAATCTGCAGAAACAATCTCTCTCTATCACTATGGCATCAAAGACTTGGCTACGATTTTCTTTTACATGCTTGTAGCAATAATCATACATGCTATAATTCAGGAGTATGTACTGGATGTAAGTACAAAATATTAATTCCTTTCCTCAAGATAATTGTCTGGTTTTAGTTAGACTTCAAGACTGTTAAAAGTCAACTTTTGCATTAAACATGCTTTGAAACTTAGATGTTCTGATGCAGTTAACAGGTAAATGTTAAGTACTATGGTGCTATGGCATATAAATAACAATGGACTTTCATTTCAGAAAATTAACAGGAAAATGCACTTTTCAAAAACAAAGCATAGCAAGTTCAATGAGTCTGGGCAACTTAGTGCATTTTACCTTTTCTCCTGTGTTTGGGGAACAAGTATTCTTGTCTCTGTAAGTATGCTTTCTCTTTTGTTTGTTTTATGATAATTCAAAACCTTCACTTATGATGATGATAAATAAGTTTTCAGCTTATTTTTCTGGTTTTAGCTGGTTCTAATATTAAAGCAGTGACAAGTTTGGGAATGCTGTGTAGGTTGTAGTCCTAACAGTATAAAGTCCAGTAGTGTTACTGTTGCTCAGTCTGAGTTGGTTTACTGTCAATTGAATAAGGTAAAACTTTTTAACTCTGTTATGGTACTTCATTGTCTGTAGTTTTTTCTGTGTTGACTTATTAGCACAAGATAAACATTTTAAAAGTATCACGCGTAGCACTTTGGCAGCCTGGGGAATGGGTGTATGGACAGATTGCTGTAGGCCTAGGTGAGCGTGTGCTTTCAGATGATCTGCTCTTTGCTAGTGGCTGTATGTGTATGAGCTTAGTTTAAAAAAAAATTTGGTTTTCTTTTCCTTAAAATAATGACTCCTGAAAAAAACTTTCTTTATCTTAGTTAAGCTCAAAGCTTGGCAGCAGTTTACAAGGGAAGACTTATGGCTGTAGTGATGCTGAAATAACCTCCAACTCATAAGGAAACTATCTTGAATGAATGCTTGGTTTGGTTGTTTTTTATGTTTTCTAAGCAAATACAGCTGTCTCTTGTTTTGGGGGTTTGGTTTTTGGTTTGATTTTTTTTAATTGTGAAAGAAAATATATTGATCTGCACCTTATGTGTTTAGATGTGTGCATGTTTTTATGTACACATGCACATATAAATAAATACATACATGTATATATGTTCATTTATTATTTCTGACTAGGAAGTAGCATTCTTGAGAGTTTATTGGGTTTTTTGTTTGCTTTTTTTTTTTAGGAGAACTATATATCAGATCCAACCTCTCTGTGGAGGGACTATCCGCACACTCTGATTCCGTAAGGCCTCTTCCTTAGAGGATTGTTGGGGAAAGGAGGGAGTGTTTTAAACTTAGGGTGTGTCACGTACAGTCTGTGTAGAATAACTAGTCTGTAAAACTATATTAGTCACTAATGTATCTTTGCGCATGTTTATGGAGGAACTTGATTCTCTGTCAATTTGTAGCATGCGAAGTTCCCTTTCTATAGGCTATTAATTAAAGAATTAATTTTTGCAAGCTTTATTTATCTTAATGATTTTGGTTTTTAAAAAAAATCTTTTGAGTTGGCTGGCAGGAAGGGTCTATATTTTTCTTTCTTTAGAGATAGTGATTAAATGCGTTCACTAGAAAACTTCTGAAATTTTTGAAGTTTGTTAATAAAAAGTAATATTCTTCAATTCTTGCTGTATTATACAGGTTTCAAATGAAGTTTTTCTACATCTTACAGTTGGCATACTGGTTTCATGCTTTTCCAGAATTGTACTTCCAGAAAACTAAAAAAGTAAGTTCAAAATGTAAATTGAAATAACTCCAAAGCAAGCAACTCGAACAGTGGAATAGTTAATTTCTTTTGGACTTCCAGTGTAATCTGTTACCCTAGATTTCCCACCCTGTTGTTATTTGTATTTCCCAATTTTTCTGATGGACTTGATGGACTTTTGGGTGCTCAAATGTCCATGTGAGAAAGTAGGAGTTTTTTCAGTTAAATCCTGTATTTCTAATTGCACTAAAATTGGCATGTATCTGTTCTGTAAATAAAAATTACTAGTGTTTCTTATCTACTGAAAGAATTATCCCTTGAGCAAATGAATGTCAGATTTTCTTTTCAAACTTTTTTTTGTTTCTTGTAATTACTAGTCTGGATAGTCTAATTGAAATCACGGCTGCTTCATGAATCATGATACAGGTGTAAAATATAAGCAGTGAATAATTTCATAAATCCAAGGAATATTAAACTCTGTTATTTGATTTAAATACTACTGTCCTCAGCAGAAGTTCTGGTTAGTTGTGTATTGAGATTTGTTCAATGCTTAATTTTTAACAGCATCCTTTTCCCCCTAAGGGTTTTCTCTGTTGGGGTTCTCAAAATGCTGAGTTTAATGTATAATTTTTTTTTTTTGTAGCGCAATGTTTTGCCTTCCTGAACCAATTTAAGTAGTCTCTTTGCATGTTTTTCTCAGGCTTATTTTGTATATGCAGTTTCCTTTTTAAACCTGTCTGTTTTAAACTCTTCAATATGGCTTCACCAAGGGCAAATCATGCTTGACTGATTTAGTGGACTTCTACAGTGGAGTGACTGCGTCAGTGGATGAGTGAAGAGCTGCTGATGTCATCTGCCTGAACTTCAGTTAAGGCTTTTGATGTGGTCCCCCACAACATTCTTGCCTCTAAATTGGAGAGAGGTGGATTTGATGGATGGACTGTTAGATGGATAAAGGAGAGGCTGGATGGCTGCTTCCAAAGAGTTACAGTCAGTGGCTGAATGTCCGAGTGGTGTTCTTCAGGAGTCTGTACTGGGACCAACACTATTTAGTATCTTCATCAATGACATAGATGGTGGTATTGAGTGCACCCTCATCAAGTTTGCAGACAACACCACGCTCAGTGCAGTTGATTTGCTTGAGGGAGGGGATGTGATCCAGAGGGATCTTCACAGGCTTGAGGATTGGGCCCATGTGAACTTCATGAAGTTCTACAAGGCCAAGTACGAAGTCCTGCACATGAGTCATTGGAAACCCCAACGTCAGTACAGGCTAGGAATGAATGGATTGAGAGCAGCCCTGAGGAGAAGGACTTGTGGATACTGGGGGCTGAAAAATTGGACATGAGCTGGCAATGTGCGCTTGCAGCCCAGAAAGCCATTTGTATCCTGGGCATGAAAAGAAGCATGGCCAGCAGGTTGAGGGAGGTGATTCTCCCCCTCTACTCTGCTCTTGTGAGACCCCACCTGGAGTACTGTGTCAGCCCTGGGGTTCTTAGTACAGGAAGGACATGGACCTGTTGGAGCTGGTCCAGGGGAGGGCCACAAAAATGGTCAGAGGAACACCTCTTCTATGAAGACAAGCTGAGAGAGTTGGGCTTCTTAGCATGGAGAAGAGAAGGCTCTGGGAAGACCTTATTGTGACCTCTCAGTATTTGAAGGGGGCTTATAAGAAAGATGGAGAAAGACTTTTTATCAGGGTCTCTAGTGACAGAAGGGGCAATGATTTTAATTTGAAAGAGGGTAGATTTAGATTAAATAGAATGGAATTATTTATGATGAGGGTGCTGAGACACTGGCAGAGGTTGCTCAGAGAAGTTGTGGATGCCCCATCCCTGGAAGTGTTCAAGGCTAGGTTGAATGGGGCTTTAAGCAACCTGATCTAAAGATGTCCCTGCCCATGGCACGGGGGTTGGACTAGATGATCTATAAAGGTCCCTTCCAACCAACCCAAAACATTCTGTGAGTCTGTTGTTGCTCTGTAACTAGACTGCATCTGTGCTGCCAGAGTTCTGCTTTATTCAGTAAAATGAAATGTGTGTGTTCGGTAACTACAGGTCTTTGCTCAACAGCTTAGAAGAGGCTTGGGAAGATAGTAATGAGATGTTTTGTTTTCATGCTGATCGGATGCAATATAAACAGTGATGTTTTGCAGATGCACTGATGTTCCCCTGTTGTGCTAGTGATATGTCTTAAATTTGACTTCATATCCAAATGTGGAGGGTTTTTTTAAGAGAACTTTAAGAAAGCTGTCACAAGTGGCAGAAGCACTGTGTATTTAATAGTGTCTTACTGGATCACTGCTGGAATTTTGTCCTTTGCCTTTTGCATTAAGCTTTAAAAGTGATATTTCATTTGTTTTGGCAAGTTCATAGCTGATACTTCTTTGACCACAGTTTAACCTCTGCCTTCTTGGCTTCTCTGCCTTATGTCTTCTCTTGAAGGAACTGGCTTCTTTTACTCAGGTCTAGTTGTCTGTACTGCTGACATAGATAAGAAAAGAAGTTAACTCAGCTTTCTGTATAGTAGTGTATACCTCCACCTGCATTAGTCCTTAGTATGCTTTCAGTGTCTGACAGTTTGTCTAAGCTGGAAGCGTGGACTGTTCAAATGTTTGCTCGGTTCTGAAGATAAAGTGCAGAAGGCTCATCCTGGTAGTACTTGGAGAAACTGAGCATTTGTACTACTATTTTCTAATTTGTCTGAAAAAACTCATTTTTTGGTTTTCTTTCAGATCATTTAGAGTAGATCTTCCTCCATCTATTTTCTTGCTCTCTGTGTATGTGGTGTTTGCGGTTGTCACAACTGTTTGATTCTGTGCTTTGAGATGGAGTATTGCATAACATAGCATCAATCTTACGAAATCAAATTTTTAGCCTTTTTTTTTTTTAATTACTTGTATACAAGATGAAGCTGAAGCCCCTTGCTTGAAGTTTAGGGAATCTTGCGAAAAAGTAGGAGTTTCTTAAGCACAACTGAATGTACTTTGCATACCGTTTCAAGACAGATTTTTATTGTGATCTAGCATACTTCAGTGATTCTTCTGTTCACAGATGGCACCTTCTGCTTTCTGTGTGCTGTGTGTCTATACTTAAATTCATGTCTCTTCCTCTTTATTATTTTGTCTCCATGAAGCATTCAATTTAATGAGGCTGGCTAAAACCTAACTTGAAGTGTGACCATGTGGCTTAGCGTGACTGGCTAATAACATTGTTCTCTGTATTTGCCAGCAACAGTGTGCCGGAATCTTGGATGATCTTGAATTTTTAAAATAGATGTTGACACTGAGAAACTTATTCATTTTGGTTCCTAGGCTGTTACTGTATTTCTGTAGCAATCTGACAGAATGTGATCAGCAGCAGACATGCGGAACTGTAGGAAGTTATCTGATGATACAGTAATACGTACCAAATAAGTATTGTAATAGCTAGTACAAATTCACAATAGTTTTGTAAAATAAAAATGGGCCCTTTTAAAAAGCATATTTTTGATGTTTGCATTTTCTCACAGTAGCATGCGTGTAAGGTACTGAATATTATTGGTAAGTAAGCAGTAAGTTATGTGTGGGATTAGATGATTGAGGCTGAGTAATTCAGTGCCAGAACAGGCCATGTTAAGGTAGCTGATAAACCAAGAATATCCAAGACTAGGGAGTAGTTCGTAATAATATGTAACATATTATATATATAGAGAGAGAGAACATATATATGTGCAGTAATGTATACCATTGTGTATAACGCACAATTACTTTTTTCTTCCTAATAGGAAGATATCTTTCGCCAGATTGTCTACATTGGACTTTATCTCTTTCATATTGCTGGAGCCTATCTCCTGAAGTAAGTCAGTTGTAAATTTTTGCTGGCTTCATTCTCTGTCTTGAATATCTAACAAAATTTCTGAGTGTTTATTTTATTTGTTTTGATAGTCTGACCCATCTTGGACTTGTTCTTCTGGTATTGCATTACTTCGTTGAATTTCTTTTCCACGTATCTCGTCTTTTCTACTTCAGTGATGAAAGGTACCAGAAAGGGTGAGTGGTCTTTATCTTTTAAATTCATGTAATTTCTGTCTCAAAGCCTTGTGCATTTAACTAACTAGAAACCAAAATTACAAGGAAGTTCAAACAGTGTTTCCTTAGAGGCCACAATTTTGCAGACTAGTTTGAGTATTTATATTTCTAAAACAACTATTTTTTTTTGGCCTTATTTGCCTATTTAAGTAAATGTTAGTAGCGGTATTAAATGAAATAAAATCTTAACACTATGTATGAATGTTTTAAAAAATTAAAAAAGTTTTGTAGAGAAATGAACAGCATAGGTTGCTAATGCAGCCAGTTCTGTAGGAACTAATAATATGTTTATGTTCTAATAGTAATGGAAAGCACTTTCTGTTGAGTTGAAATTGGTTTTCAGAACATACTTTTCATTGGGGGGGGGTGCGGAGGGGAAGGTGAGGCAGGGCTTTTCTTCCTTTTTCTCTTCTATGAGTACTAGAAATATAAGATTGCTTTTGGATAGGTGCAAAATAATGAATTTGGCTGAGTTCTTAAATTTCAAACAAATTCACATGGTAAAGAGTAAACATTTGCTTTGTTAGTACTTGTGAACGGAAAATTCATTTAGTGTTTGTGGTGTTTTTCTTTGTAGCTTTTCACTGTGGGCGATTCTTTTTGTTTTGGGAAGGCTTCTCACCTTGATTCTTTCGGTCCTCACTTTTGGCTTTGGACTGGCAAGAGCAGAAGATCAACAGCTGAATTTCAGTACTGGAAACTTTAATATCCTGGCTGTTAGGTATAGTAAACTTGGAACAGTTCTTAAGCATGAGCTGTAAACCTGTGTTAAATACACAGTATAATTGGTATGGTATTAATGTTAGTAATTCTGGATGGTTAGGTGTTTTCATGCAAGCAATGGGATCAATAGGAATAGCTTCTGTAACAAAATAGCAAGGCACAGTGAAATGGGTTGAAGAATTCACAGTCTATAGCTGCGAAATCTGTAACTGTTTACTCTTTTTTTTTTTTTTTGTCAGAAAAAACAGTATTAAAAGGAATATACAATTACAGAGATTACTTTCAAATGTTTTAGAGCTAGTGAATTGAATCCGAGATATAACTGCAGTGGGTTTATCTATGGAGGTCAAAGCATTATGCCCAGAGCATCTTTGGTCCTGGTTGAAGATTCCTACTTCTTTCTCTGCCTTTATTATGGCTCCCGTTACTGCTATGTGATGCAGAATGTTCAGCCAACCACCTGGCCTTTTTATGAATTAATCCTGGAAAAGGAAGTTATCAAAACATTGACAGTGTCAGCATTACCCTGCAGAATTGATACTGAGAACTGCAAGACTCTCTTAAACCATTTTCAGCTGTTATTACCTGGTACCTTGAGAATGATATTGAGAAAGGAGAAAGCAGGAAAGAAATCTAGTGCTTGCCCGTTTTCATGGAGGCACAAAGACTTCACTCTCTCACTGTATATCTAGTTTTGTTGAGGTGTGCTAAGCCTAGTCGCCCTACATGAGCTAACTCTTGCATGGCTTAGAAAATGAGTGTCACTAGGAGGAGGGGGGGAAAGTCGTTGTGTCCCCTGTGTGTGCCCC